GTGACGCCCAAACAGCTGCTTGCTCCCCTGCGGTGGCCCGGCTGAGCAGCGCAGAAGTCAGCTGAGTGCCACGGTGGGAGGGGAAGGACGTGACTCAGGCAACAGCACCGCCCAGAGAGAACAGCCAGGGAGGCAACTGCGCTGCCCAGAGGGAACAGCCAACATTTCAGCATTACAGTCACATACTATTATATACATGATTTCAGTGTCTGATGTCTTTGACTTTTTAATTTTTCATTGGAAAACCACTCCCCAAAAATACTTTAATTTTGTGGATGTTTATAGCTTTCAACCTGCTCTTTCCTCCCCCCAGAAAACCAGGTTTTTAATTTATTTGCTCCACTCCTGTTTTTTAGATTTTCAGTTTGTCAGTGAAAAGGCAGAGAAAGCCATAAACCATCATTTTTAAAGTGCACCCGAGAGCAACATCCCAGTCAACCAGTTGGATCCTATCCGTCTTTTCCTTAACTAACTCTCTCCCTTCCATTCAGCCTGGTCACAGGTTACATCAGACACAGGTCTGTGTCTACACTACAAAGAAAAGTCAGAAAAAGATGTGCAAATTGTGAACCATAATTTGCATATCTTTTTCCGCTTTTCTTCCAAAAGAGGGTTTTCTGACATTTGGCCCTCTACAGAGGGCCAAATGTTGGAAAAAAACCCTCTTTTGGAACATCCCTTCTTCCTTGTACAATGAGGTTTACAAGGATACTGAAAAACGTGTCTGCTTTTCCAATTTTTTTTCGCATTCCTTGGAAATGGCAGAGTTTTTCTGGGATACGTCTGGTATCCCGGAAAAACTCTGCAGTCTAGACATACCCTAGGTCTTCGACATAGCAGCATGGGGACATACCCCATAATTCTTGTAACAGGATTATCCAACTGTAACCCTTCTGCTGGGTAGGCCTGGCAGTAACCAGGGCTGGGTTCAATATCTTGGGGCCATCACACATAGAACCAGCTCGAGCCCCCACCCAGTAACCTGGGAAATTCACACAATGCTTCCCCACTCGCAAGCACTGAGTCTGAGTATAGGAAAGAAACATTTAATGAAACAGAAAGGGAAGTCATATGGCATTAACTTGGGGGAAAACACCACAAACAGAGTTCATAACCCCAAACATGAGCCAAGCCCCCACCTCAGCCAAGAATCGCCCAAAGTCCAAAAAGTCCAACACCAAAAAAATCTTTGACCCTGGTCCGTGCCACCCAGAGTCCCAAAGTTCACCCACAGGGTTTCACCTCCCAACCTGGGTAGAAATGGGGGTAAGGGGATAGATAGGGGGCACCTTATATGAAACTCCACCATGCTCCACCAGCTGTCTCGTCCCACGCCACTGGATGCTCTGCTGGGCGCCCCCCCCTGCTTCCTGTCTGCTCCTGCCCATGAGTTCAGCACAATGGAAGCCAAGCAAAGCAGTGTTGTGAGTGTCCAACACAAGGAACTTTACCAGAGCTATGACAAGCTGCAATGGGACTTTTTTTTTCAACTCATCATGTGAATATGGTATTACTGGATCTCTAGGGACTCTGGCCAGATTTTAAAAGATACTTAGGTGCCTAAATACCTTTAAAATCTGGCCTTCAGTCTTGGATCTTTTGTTCACTTGAGTAGTCCCATTGACTCTAGTCGGATGATTTGTGTTGGTAAAAGTAGCAATCTCTGTCCCTAGGTGAGGCTTGTCTGATGGGTGCTTTAAACATGGATAAAATATTGAACTTCAGAGTGTTACTACATCAATAAACAAAGCAGCACTGCAAGCGTTTCAGAAGCCTGTCTGCCATTTTGCCTTTCTGGAGTGGATAGTGATACTAACCAAAGTATTTATCTTCTGTTACGTAATTCAGTTACTCAGAATGACTCAATTCCTTTGATTGCCCACTGCTAGGTGTTCCTTTTAAAATAATTGGTAGCTGCAGTAGCCTGTCTTTAATAACAAGCCTTTTCAGGGAGTGGCTCTAAATGGATTCAGAGAAGGAAGAGGAAGCTACAACTGAGATCCTGCATTTCCCTCAGCAGGGGCCCATCTTTGAAGTAGGAATAAGAGATCCTCCGGAAAAGGGCTTTTTTCCGGAGGATCGGGCAGGATCGGGGCCAGTGTAGACGCTCTTTTCCGGCTTTTCTAAAAGCCGGAAAAAAGCGTCGGACATTTTTATTTAAATGCCGCGGGGGATGTTTAAATCCCCCGCGGATTTCCCTATTACGATCTGAAAAATTAGCATGCCCCTTCCGGAAAAGGGGCCAATGTAGACGTAGCCAGACTGTACAGATAGCAAAGTGAGACCATGAAGACAAAATAATAAAGAAATGAGGGTTTCACAACTACACTTATTAATAAGAGAGTTCCTGCCTGACAGAAAGCTATCAAACTTTTTTCTAAATATTTCTAAACTCCCATAATTTCAAAATAATGAGGCGAGTGTCCACACAGCAAGCCCAATATTTCAAAACTAGCCAATTAGCCCGTCATAAAATGGGATTTTCAGGTCTCTCCTGCACATCCTTGCATTTCTGGATCACCCTATTTAAGAGCTGTCATATTCCATTCCAAGAGGCAGGTATGTCTGATTGCTGGAAGAAGTGATCTTTATATAATATAGGTTGTAGGCTCTCTTCCATTTTTAATGCCAAGGATTATATTTTAAAAGCTTTAAAACACAAAGCATCCCAGGCTGTTGGAAATCCCTGCATGGGGAGTGCAGAGCCCAAATAGCTGTTTGCGCCGCTTGCTCGCACATGGCAGCTCGGTGGGGCCGCTGCCTATAAGCTCCAGCTGCCCCCCCGCC